CCCCAAAACCCCAAAACCCCAAAACCCCAAAACCCCAAAACCCCTTTTAAGTGCGAAAGGTGACGGATAATTTTAAAATTTAAAAGCGGTAATTTTTGAATAAATATGTCTGTCACAAGGAAAACAGATGTTTCTTCTGATCCATCCTTAGGGTCAGTGCTGTATCATACAGCCAGGAGACCTTCAAAAGGAGCAAAAAAGTATATGGAGCATCCCAAGTCTGCTGAAGAAGCTGCTAGAAGTGGTAAGTAAACGCTCTATGCAGACATTAGCAACTAAATATTGCTGATTTTTATCATAATTTTTTTGCAACCCGCAAATTACCCAAAATTTGGCATTTTTGAGATAGTCACAACACCGAGGGTTTAACAATTATATAGAGCATAGAAATATAAACAGAATTGTGCTCAGAGAGCCAGGCTGAGAGTGCCATTCAGGCAGTGAACTAAAAGAAGTTTATGCTAGCATGCTATCTACTCAATTTTATCACGGAAAGACTGCCAAAAAGGGATACCTCAAGTACAGGAGAGTCCTAGTTGATTGGATGTGAGAGATAGGTGACACAATAAAACAGTCCTATACCACAATCCATCATGCTGTTTGTGTTATGGATAACTATTTCAGCAAGCATGAAGACGTAAAATCTAATGAAAAAGGAAAAAGATTACTAAAACTAGTTGCCTTAACAAGTATCTTCATCAGTGCCAAGTACTGTGAAAAGGATTCTAAAGGTCCTACTGCAAGGAATATCTCCATGCTGACGAGAGGAGAGTTCTCAGAAGAAGAGATCTTATACTTTGAAGGACTAATTTTGCAAAAGATTGGGTGGAATCTGATGTTTACAACACCAGCGGACTTTATCAGTTTGTTCCTTAATCAGGGTATTGTCTATTCTGACGATCTTGTATTTACAGATGAATTTGCTTCTCACCCAAGAGCTCCAAGCTTGAAGAACATTAGATATGTAAGGAAGTACTGAGAGTTCTTTGTAGACCTTTGATTACAAGAGCAATCTTTTCAGAAATATTCTTGTATTATTCTTGCAATTTCCATTATCCTTGCAGCGAGGAAATCTGTGAATATTTCTCCTATCTGGAATGATGAATTCTCGAGGCTATTTATGATGAACTTTAAGCATGTTGAGAAGTGCTACATTGAAATATATAGTTTCTACGAAGCTTCCTTTCCTAATCAGACAAAGGCTATAATCAAGCCTGCTAAGGTAATTCCTTCAATACACAAGACTAAGCCAAAGAAAGAAAACAGAAGTGTGGGTACAAGGTACACTTCCAGTGAAACTTCTCACAGGAACAGAAGTTCTACTAAGAGTTCAAGAAGAAGCAAGAAGGAGCTTGCCACTTGGAACCTAAGAAGTAAGCATAAGGGAAAGAGGAGCACTAACAGCTCTCTCCTAAGCCATAAGGCTGATCTTTCCCGTGAAGGTAGGCTTTAGACACCTAAATTTGTAGTAAAGAACATAACCACACCAGATAAGTTCATAGCTTTACATCAGAAAAATTCATCTTCAAACAAAAAGTCCACTCTGAAAAAGTTTAGACCTCAGAATGTTTCCCTCAGAAGGGCAGTGCAAACTGGTATGAGCGGATCAAGTAACAAGAAAAAGTTAAAGATAAGATACAAGAATAAAGATGCTGTAGAGAAGATGCCCTTAAAGCTTGACTTCAACACTAAATCTATAACAAATCTAACTAAGCAGGTAGGCTTTAACTAAGATATCTTTGAAATTTTTGAGCAATAGTCTAACCTCTGATATAGAGCAAATTCTCAAATAGGATCCCTAAAGCACCACAAACCAAAAGGAATAGCCAGATAGGTGGGACCTTCTACAAGGCAAATTATGATCAGAAGCCAAAGCTATCATCCAGGAATAACATGCCTTCATATTCTGGGATGTATAGTACTCTTGATAATGGAAAGCATCATATCTCCCAGCAAGAGGATAAAAGAGAATATCTTCTCACTAAAGCCCAAGATTCAAGCTCCTGTCAAAGATTTTCAAACCAATACGATCTTGGCAATACAAGCAAAGATAGTTCATGAGGTATCCGTAAGATTGGTTACAATTGGGCAATCAACAACGTCCCAAGTTGGAAGAAGGACAAAAGCAAGAACTATAGCTCAATGTCTTCTCTAATGAACCGCCCTTCTGAAGCACGAAAGCAAAGTTTCCAAAAGCCCAAGCCCAAATTTACCCTCAGTAACAGCTCTAGCTTCATGCTTACAAAGGAAAATCCCACTGTAACTCTCTATAATAACCCAAAATAGACCGATAAGGCTCAGCTCGCCAAGAGATCCAAGCTGCACAAGAACATTTTCCACCAAATAGGCACTTTCCCTCGCTCAAGTTCCTCCAGCACCAGGCCTAAAAATCCCAGTGGACCTAGAAGCCGGCTTGAGCAGTACTAAATTCCCAATTTTTTAAGTTGGTTTAGATAGTAAATTTCAAAGTTGGTTCAGAAGAAAGGGGTTTTGGGGTTTTGGGGTTTTGGGG